ATACTATTCTTCAGGATATGAAGAAGAAGCAGTATTCCAGAGGTTAGATGAACAGTGAATCAAAGATTTGAAAATTTGAATTGTTAAAAGATCTGTTCTACCCAGAACATGATCCAAGAGGTCCAGATCATGCTATGCCGAGTATGATCTTGTTGAAATCAAGGTCTCTGGCTTTAATCGTTAATTCAGACCTCCATCATATCGTTGAAGCTCTTCGTCCTATTTCTTGGATCAGTGCCTCGCAAATGAGTTGAAACGGAGTCTGAAAGCTTTTCATTACTCATCCTCGGTTTGATGACGACACTGACTTGGTTGTTGTGAACGAAAGCAAAAGAAATTCACAATTCATACTGCGTGAGTTAAGGATAAACAATGATTAAGTTGGTTTTCGCATGATGTGAGAGAATAGCAAAATGATAAGAAATTAAGTTTCACAGCGTGCTATAATGACAGTGATTATTAACTACTTTTGTCAGATTGCGACGGTTAAGGTCAATTTTTTAGTCCAGAGTTTTCTAATATTCAAAGTCGAGCACATAACTTAAAGTACTGACATTTTTGAGTACGAAAGACTGTCATTTGCTGAATGAAAGCTCAGAAATTCGATCTAGACAAGTTACGGAATGAAGGAGATGAACACCCACTGAAATGAAGTTCATTTAGTTAATGTTGCTATAAAATAAGGCTCATGAACGGTTCACGCATTACGCGGTTAACATATAACAGATGGGCATTATAACCAGCAGTATCAATGACTAATTGGAAAACACTGATTAGGATAGATGGAAAGCTAAATGAGACATGTGAAAGGCTTTGGCAACAGAAAGACGTTGGTATCGGGATAAAGATAAAGATAGAGGCTATCTGCTGCGTTAACGGTAAAAACGAATGCCGTTAAAACTTTTGCTACCCTTAGTCATTTTTACTTTACACTGGCCAGTTTATGGACGGGTTATTCATAAGCTACAGTAATAATAATATATGCAAATTCGACGTTTAACTCTATTTAGCTCAGTTATATTACCCGGCGAAAAATGAACAATAAGGTAAAGAAAAAGGTAAAGATTAAGTAAAACGATGCACCGAACGTTTTGTATACTTCTTTATTAGTTGTTATGTGTTTATGCAGTAAATGATGACTAAATGTGTGTATGTTGCATAAGGTTTCTGTTTGTCATTCGGAATAACATTCATGGCAAGCATCATGCCACCGTCGTCGTCGCATTCGTTCAGCCCTGATCAATACGGCCATAAAACGCAACGCATCGGCGATGCGATCATTACCGATACTTTGTGCGTCACCAGTAATTGATGGTAGCGTTCGTCGTTGAATTAGTCACCACTGGGTGGGCCGGATAAACGGGGAGGGAGGGGGACAGGGAGTTTAAAAAAAATGAATCAGCGACCAAGAATGCGCTTTTAAAGCAGATTCATGAAACTCCTAACGATGTAAGATGTAACTGTGGGCAAGTTTTGGGCGGTAGTCCCTTCTGTCGTGAAAAATCGACATTCGGCTGTAACGATTTCTTTCTGCTGGCACACTAATCCTTGGAGAGATTAGACTGACCAGAAGTAAAATCGGTTTAGAATTGGTTGGTTGACGCCTAGGAATAAGAGATCGATTTTTCTGGCAATCGATACGAATCATCGGCTAATTTCGTGACATATGGTTCTGCATGATTATGCGAAGATAGACCAAGTAATACGACTGATGTTCGGTTTTGGTCCTCTAGATATCACCTGCTGTGCAAAGCATGAAATGATGTGATCAATGATTACAACAACAACAAACGTCGCGTTGTTTCTTCCGGTTTTAGAAACATGTTTCCATCGATCGGTTGAGGCAAATACTCGATTTGTGAGTGAGTCTCAGACGGAATGAATCATCGTTTCAATGGCCATCTGGTGTTTGACAACAGAGATGTCTGCAGAGTGAGAAAACGGATGGTGAGGTGAAACAGAGTACTGGCTGCCATTGCCTATCGGCCGTGGTAAGCGACAGTCACTGTCTCACTCTCGTCTACAACACCTTCGTGGCTCTTACTTTTTTATGGCCCCCGTGCCAACGGGTGATCACGATCAAGCGAGTGCTCTCGCCTTATTCTGTACTGCATCGGCATTCGGTGACGTCGTCCCTATTGCTACAGATTCGTACCTCTGCCAACCGCCAGTCGCCTCCAGCGTCAAGGATTTCTTGGACAAGTTGAATGATCAGTGGCGAACGTTTTTGGACAGAATGGCCGCCCTCAAAGCCTACCGACTGTAAGTTACAAGTTTCAACACGTGAGTCATATTCTGTCGACTACGATTCAACGTACAAGTGTGGTTGGTTGATCGCTGAAAGAAGGACCTAACAAAAATGTCAGAGTGATCAGCTGAAGCTGTTCTTTCTTTACAGGAATAAGATTTTGTGTAATTCCAACCACTTGCAAACGTTCGTAAATGCGTTTGTATGAACTGCTTGAACACTTAATATTAAATCATTGACATTTTTTATCATAGTTGTTGCTATGCTGAAAAAATTTCTTCAGCTTTCTTTCGTATGCTTGTTTCATTAAGTTAAGTCTTAACCATGAAAAATAACGTATAATACCATAAAATTCTGTTGTTTCATCTGGTATCAGAATCATTTGAGTCATTTAAAGTGTTCGTTTCCGTCGAAAATACTTTGACACACATCTGATTATGGTCTATGAATTCCTTGATAAATTGCAGCAGACGTTCATTGGATCAGTTTTTATGCTGTTCAGTTTTGTGTCACGAAAAACAGCCATACATTTATTGGTTTTACCGGTTAATAGCTAGAAAATCAACAAACATCTCTGTTTACCGTCATTGCCTTTATCATTCAGTATTAATCACAAAATTTACGTCGAGCTGGTCGCACTAGCGACGAAATATTTTGCATATATATTAAGTTAGTGTAATAGAGTAATTCGTTCGTACGTTGGTGGTCATACTGAAAAATAGCGTAAAATGCGATTTACTTATACCCAACGTAAAGAATATTGTGGTCAGTCCGGTGACTGCGGGTTAAATAGTTTTTGGGCGACAGGGGCAACGAGGTTCATCCAGTCCGCGCAGAGTTTGTATCCTTTGTCATATTTGGCATTTCGCAGAATTGGATGATTAATTGCTCCCTTTTCCGCCATTGTGGCCAATGTCTCTCTTTGTTAATTCCGCTACACTCAGACCATCGGAGGAGGAAGAGTGTCCTTCCTTGACTGCAGTCCCTGCGCGGATTTGATGATTCTCGTTGTCCCTATCACCCAAATCTATATTTGACAGGTATAGCAAGGGCAGAAAGCATCTGGTCACGAAACTAGCTTGCCGTCTGGTCACGAAACTGCCGAATGCTGCAGACGACCGACAACATTCACGAGACTAAAACAACTCAATCCACACTGGAGAAGCCCATGAAACACGGGCCGAAACACCGGTATGGACAGTCACCAGACTGACCACAGTATCTTTTGCGTTACGTATACGTAAATCGTGCTTTACGCTAGTTTTTGAGTTGTTGTAATGGCCTGTAGTTTTTTCAACGAATGAAGCGAATGAAATTAAGCTGAGGGCGAACGCAAAGTCGACATGGTCTTATCTTCTGTTGTAACGCAACAGATATTTGGTGAAATTATTTAAACAGCAAAAAAAAATAACGTGATTTATTTATGCACAGTGCTGACAGTACGGTCCATGGGATGATTGATGGGTATCAGCATTTCTGTCGTTGTCTCAGGGGCTTTCATCGAGGTAAAGAAGTGCATTGGCTTTAAAAATCCTGTTTGTTCATTTGTAGCCATGAAGCTCACGATGTTATTTTTTCGGTGTGGTAAAATTGCACTAACCCTAATACTCACGCAACATTGACTGAAATTATTACTGCATTTCAAAGTATATATTGCTCCATTCTGATGGTTTTCTGTATCTACGATCATTTTAATGCGTTCGATCTATTCTATGCAATTTTAAAGGTAAAAACAGACCAGATTTATCTATAAAGCAATACCTTAATAAAAATATACAAATATTATTTGAGTGTTATT